ATTTCCTCTTCAGTTACTGGCTAGGGAGCCCATTTGCAGGGTTTATTTTTACTTATTACTTCTTTCTAAATGAATTATACTTCTGAAAGTCATGGAAGTATGAACACTGATAAGATATTCTTCATGAGAGCACAAAATCAACAGACAAACTTCAGTAGCTTTCCTATATTCTAACAAGAAACAGGCTAAGAGAAGTCAGGAAAACAATCTCATTCATAATAGCCTGATAATAATTTAAATGCCTAGAAAGTAGAAGATTAAGGAAGAGAAAGACTTCTGCAATGCAAACTATAAAACCTTGAAGAATGAAATTTAAAATACACAAGAAGATGATCCATGAAAAATGGCTACCCAAAGAAAAGCAAGTTACAGATCTGATGCAATCTCCATCAAAATTCTAATGTCATTCTTCATAGAAATAGAAAACTCTATCCTAAAATTCATAAGGAAGAAGAAAAGACCCCAATAAGCCAAAGCAATCCTGAGAAAAAAGAGTGATACATGAAATATCATAGCATTTTATTTCAAATTATACTAGAGGGTCCATGGTCACAAGGACAGTATGGTATAGGCCCCAAATCAGACAAAATAGACCAATGAAACACGGTAGAAGACCAGAAAGAAACCCATCCAGCTACACTCATCTGATTATTGACAAAGGTACCAAAACCATACTTGGTGAAAAGACAACTTCTTTAAACTAACTTTTGGGCTTAACTAGATATCTACATGCAGGAGATTGAAACCAGGAACCTATTTTTTCTGCCTGTACACAACACAATTTTGAATGGATCCAGTACCTTAAAAATACATCTGAAATTTGAAACTTCTGCAGGAAAGCAGGAATAGCACATGAAGTTTTCAGTTTTACTTTCTAAAGGATTCCAATCGCTCAGGAAGTCAGAGCAAGAACTGACAAATAGAGCCAGTACCTGCAATCCTAGCTCCTCAGGAGGCTGAGAACTGAGGATCTCAGTCTGAAATCAGCTGAGGCCAGAGAGTCCAGGAGACTATCTCCTGTTAATCACCAAAGAGCTAGACATGGAGCTGTGGAAGAACACTAGCTGTGAACTAGTTCAGGGACAGTGTTCCCAGGCCCTGAATTCAAACCTCAACACAGGCACAAAAGGAGGAGGAGGAGAAGGTGGAGGAGGAGGTGGGAGAGGAGGAGTTGGAGGAGGAGAGGGGGAGGAGGA